TACCAGACACAGTAGAAGAGAGACAAAGAAAACTGGGAAACATGGTTTTGAAACATCAGCTCGTGATTTGGGGTTCATACTTTAAAATGCTTGGTGTAGGGAAGAAAAAGTCTGCTGGTTTAGTTTTTGGTTTGGGGTTGTTTGGTTTGTTGTTTTTTTAACAGGCAAATTGTTGGAACATATAAGCAATTCACAGGCATCTGTGCATAGCTGAAGACTGGAGCAGGATGCACCCAGATGGGTCATTCTCTAGCAGAAGAAAACAGTCATCACTTTTAAGGAAATCAGGCAACAAACCAGGTCTTTTTCTCACTCAAATCTGATTTGGACCTTCCAGCTTTCTTTGTGATGGACTAACAGGTAATAGGAGCAAAACCAAAACACCAAAACCTGCTACCTACATAGTGCTCACACATTACACTTTGTTCTCTCAGCCACCAATTATGGATTAGCACCGCAGGTTCTTTCCAAACACTCCTTCCTGCAGACAATGGGTTTGTACTGCCAGCACTCTGAAGCAGCCACTGCAAGTCACTCAGGCCGGAACTCCTCCTAGCAGGCCTGCAAAACTCCAGAGAGCATACAGAGCCACCTCAGTGCTCAGGGCAATTACTTACACACCAGGGGTGATGATGGGCAGACAAATGGCCTCCAGAAGCATCCCTTAAAACCCTGCAAGTGGATGCAAAGAGCAGTCGACCAACGACCCATCTGCAGTTCATCGGGGTGATGGAGCAGAGAAGGAGGCACCAGCACAAGGCAACACACCACTCCACGTAGGACTTACTCCTAAATAAATAAATTCAGTTTTGTATTCAGAAGTAGTTCTGCCTCAAACACGATTACCGTCAGGAGTACTGAAAACTCCACTGCATTAAGGACAACTGAGGCAGGCAGGCCATAACTGCTGAAACTGGAGGAAAGCCAAGCCACCTAGAGATAGCTCTGCCAACACCAAAGAACTGAAGGGTTTGCAACAGCCACAAGAAATGGTCATTGCCATAGCTACACTAACATGGGGAAGACAGTACCTTCTAGCCCTCCATATAGTTACAGATGCCCTGAGGCAAGCAAGCCCTTGCATCTTTTTACCTTGCCCTACAACCCTATTCACTTACTTCGCAGGACCTGTGAAGTCTGACCTCCGAAAAAGGCTGACCCAAATACTTCAAAGGGTGAGAAAATTCAAAATCACGGCTCTTAGTACCATTTAAACCTAGTTTCTTGTGCCAGGTTTGTACTCTGTTTCATAATATTTCTTAGGCTTTGTATACGAAATAAGTGATTTAAGAACAAGTTAGTTTCAGCTCTGAACTCTCCACTTTCTGTACATATAAAGCAAAGATGTTTAAAACTATCTTTTTTGGAGGTACAAAATAAGCATCAGCTTTCTGATTATTTTTTTTTTAAACACACTACATAGTAAACAGATTCTAAACATACAAATTACCTGAAAAAAAAAATGCACTGCTGGGATGGAAATTGTTTTTCTTCTCCAAGGAAGTTTTGTATCTTTAAATCTTCTCTATATCAGAATAAAAAACTAAAACCTGTAGCTTTCATGAAATGAAAATCAGAAAAATATCAAAGGTTTCATCAAAAAACAAGAGAGTACAGGCTCATTGTTAACATAAAATTAATTAATTAAGTACTTAAAGGCCTTAAGCAGTGGTAAAGCCCTGATTTGAACTGGAAGATGGTTAAGGCTTTGCAAACTGAAGACTCTGGAAGAACCTGTCATCTTCTCGTAAAGTGCAATATAGCTTTGACAGACACTTCATTTTACTGAATACAGTAAATCCTAATGCCAAACTTATCTCAAAGGATTTGAGGGGGAAAAATGTCCAAGACTTGAAACAAATACCTTGATGAAATGCTCTACAAATGCTCATAGAGCTATGAACTTGATTTATATATGAAAAGAGAAATACAAACAAACAGGGTAAGCTTTCCACTGACGGGTAAGTTATTACAGGCACACTGCTTAACATACACAGTGTCACCCACCTGAAATGTTAGTTAGCAGCAGTATCCCCTTTCCTTTGGAAATGGATGGTTCAGGTTGATACAAATAAGAGGAATACGGGGAAATAACAGAGGGAAATAAAAGTTCTTTCAAAAATCAGGGCAAAATCATCATTCTGTATGTACTCATATGTACTGATAAGAAACAATTTCTGACACAATCTGAACAGAGGTATGGTTGCTCTTTCAAGGAACTTAAAAAAAAATAAAGTTATCTTTGTCCAAATTAGTTAGAGGAAATGAGGGAGGAAAGCAAAGCATTAAAGGCAGCAAACAAAACACAGCAACCTGTGGCCACTAGCCAGCCTGATCTTTTGTTGCCTTCTCCCTGCCCTGCCTATCCCCTCCTTTCTGTTCTCCTTCAACATTTCCAGTCTGGGAAGGAGTATATGCTTCCCCATCCTCCACCTCTCCTAAACCTGACCTAGTCCAACACATGGGCAAGAATTTTCTTTTGCTTTGGTTCTCAAATTTCAGTATCACGTTCAGCCTCTCCTCCCAAAGCTTCTCACCCCAAGGAATACTATCTGCATGACTGCATTTGATAATACAGACTCTACTACTTAAATACCATACATCTGCAGACAGTTAAAAGTGTATTTTACAAAGGTACCACAAAGGAGTTTGGCAACATGCATCTCCTGGGCGCCCAAGTCACTGCAGCAGTTGGAAAGGGATCCTGTCCAACACAGGGACAGCTTCCCTCTCCTCATGAAGATGGAACTGTGTGGGCAGAGACAAGGTGTCTGTGCTGGAGCCACTTCCCAAACCACAGCTTTGGAGGGACCATCCATCTGACATGTTGCAACTCTGGGAAGCACATGCAGGGGGGCAGGGAGTAGGGCAAGGAGGAGGGGAGCAACAGGCAGGAAATCTCCTCCAAACTTCCAGTGCCCTGTGAAAGAGACAAACAGATGTGTCCAGCCAGAGGGAAATGGCAGTGGGCTGTGCACAGCCTCTCAGTTGACCCTATGAACTGAACAGAGGCACTTGTCTCTGCTGCACATCACTGTGTAAGACGCATGCAGGGAGGGAGATAATAACAACTGATGCCCAGAATCATGCAAAACAGCTGTGCTTCCCTCAGCCCCCAACCCAGGGGGCATTCAGAAACCATACAAAAGCTCGGCTGGAGCTACGAATCTCAAAAGCAGCTTTCCTCCACACCTGCAGCTCAGCCAAGCCTCCCACATCTCAGTGTGCCCCAAAATTCGGTGTTTCAAAGGAATTTTACAGAGTCTTCCCTTGTCTGGGAGGAGACAGGTTGAGAGGCCACAAGGCAGCTTCTGCACTCAGCATGCTGCAGCATCGTTGTCCAAGGCAATGCCTGCCTGCAACAGCACGGGCAGCTGCATTATTTAGTCTGGCACCAAGGAAAAAAGCTATCATCTATTTTTAAAAGTTAGATTCAAAGAACCAGCTGGGGACCAGCGATTGCCATTTTTGAAGTGCAAGAAGAGGAGTGTAACCAGCCTTTCCATAGTAACGAAGATTAGCGGCCTGGAGCCTGACACTCCTCCTGCATTAAAAGATAGGAGACAAAGAGATAGACAGGTAATTACACAGAAGGAGCCCTAGGGAAATTGCAAACTCCTTGAGAACTCTTTAGCTGGTCTGCATGTTACTCCTTGTCCCTGCTTCAGCTGAAGTTCACCAAGAAACATTTGCCCATTAGGTCATTAGCTTTATTGCAGAAGGTAGCCAGGCTGCTGGTAGTGGCCATTCAATAAAGACTTAGCTTGCTCCTGCACCATCAAAAATGAGATGGAGAATGAGAAAGAGAACATCCCAAGGCACATTACCTGTCTGCAGCTTATCCTTGATAAATTAGTGTACTTAGTCTGAGGGGTCTGACAAATGAACTCTGACAAATCTCACTGGGGCAATTTAAGACATTATTGCACAGCACTGTCTTCCCAAACCCTTCACAAAGGTTAGCACCACAGAGCAAATCTGGCAGAAAAATTTAAATCGCACATTGGCCTCCCCAATTCAGAGCCTACCAAGATAGCATAAACCCCTTCTCGGAGCTGGTTTAAGTTAAGACATCAATTCTAAACTGGAATGGCTGAAGTATAGGCAAAAGATACTTCCTCCACTACAAGAAGCACTTACATTTATCACAATGATGGAATGGAAAATGACATCTCAAAGCACTGCAGACAGTTCATAAGCAAATACAAATCTCAATACTGAGTTTTGGTACTAATATAAATATGCAATTTGTCTAGCAACTGACTTGAGTCTACTCCTGCAGCTCAGGATACTCTGGGAATCACAGCACTAATTTGTTGTATTTTATGTATCCTGACACATAAATTGAATGTCTTTAAGTGGAAAGACCGACATGGATTACACATGGATCAAATCACCAGGTAAGTACAGGCACTGCATTTGACCTCTCACCCACCACATTTTGCACTTGCCCAAAACTAAAAAAAGTCTGAAGAGGTAAAGAATTGTCATCTGTTTCCAACCCTTCACAAAACACACCATTCAGAGCTAGAGCTGGGGTTCCAGCTGGTTCCTATCTTATCTGTCAGTGGTACAACCGGCCATGAAACCATGAAGGACCTCAGAGAAAACAAACAGGTTTAGAAAAAAAAAAAAAAAACAAAAACCAAACCACCACAAAACGGTGCTTCAACTTAGCTTCTACAGTCTTTTCATCTAAGCTGATATTCAAAGATTTAATAAATCAACAGTACAACAGTTACATAATTTTCTTCTCTGCAAGCATTTTGAATGTATCTTGTCTTCTAGTTTTTTCCCAGGGAACTGTACAGAAGTAGACATAGAAGTGAGAAGCACATGAAGCTTCTGTTTGTATCGCACTGTTAGAAGAGCAATCAACATTAACCAGAAGACTTGTCTAAACTCTATGTAGACAAGCTAGATTCTAACATCACTCTCCTTTCCAGAAGGAGCTGAGCAGGCAAAGAAACCTCGAAAAGCAGATAACAATTACCTCTTACCTTTCTGAAGAGGCCGCCGCCAATTAGCACATTCCTGGAGCTTCTAATTCAGACAAGAAGAAATGCGAGGAGGGAGGGGGGATGGGGAAAGAAGCAGAGAGTCGTTTTCTTCAGCACAACAGTATTTCCTAAGGGGTGGAAAAAAGAATAAAAAAGAAACAAGTAAGTAATAGCTTTCATGTTTTTTGAAGAGGCTACAGATTACAATTCTTTGGAAGAGCTACTCTGCCTCTCCTCCTCCAGTTCCAAAATATGGCTGGAGCTGTCCTATATCTTCTCCTTCTATTATCACCTCATTAAAATATGGAATATGAAGGTCAAGTCACCTACTGCTAAGAAAAACAAAGAGGGATTCACATCAGAATGGGATAAAGTCCCATTCAAAAATATTCTTGAGCACTCATTCTATTAAGTAAATAAGCTTCAGTGAAGCTCGCACCCACTCCTGTAAAAATTCAAATGAGCTACATTTACTATCAAAATAGTTGGCAAAAGGCAAATTCCAACATGCATACTGAACATACAGGTATACTCTGACATTCAAGTGCTTATGTACTCTTCCCTGCAATTATGAGGTATGTACAACTGCTCGTAACTTCTACTTACTACTATTTTTCTTAAGACAATCTATTTTCTTAGGAGAACCTACTCCAGCTACATTGAATCTATCAGTAACAATAAGAGAAAAATATTAAGTATCAGAATGAAGGGAAATGGATACAAAAAAGCCTTTTTTTGACTAAAGATACCATTTAGAAATCCAACTTCACTCCCATAAAACCATAATCCCTCACCTCAGAACATATCTTTCTGCCCTACTCCTAACATGAATTTAAAGAGATTTACAGACACCCAGATTTAATGGACCCCTCCCTACCTCCAGTACCTGCCTCTGATGAAAAGCAGGAAAATCAAGTGGAAAATTATTTTAAAGGGTGCATGCCAGACATTAATGTATTTGAGGAAATGGCAATCAAGGTTTTCCATGGGGAATGAGCAAAAGGAAACATGTCCAGTCTGTTCTCCGTCACATTTTACTGGCTTATATCCATACAGAAAACTTTTCTGTCCTATGAAAAATCTGAATGCAAGTTCTCAAAATAAAGTCAATGCTACCTTACACTTCCCCTCACACCTCTATCATCCATCAAAAAGATAATTATCCTATCTGCTAACAGCACACAACTACATACAGATCCTAGGGTCTCCCGAAAGAGATTTTATACAAAGGGCCCCAACAGATAGAAAACAACATAAAAGGCAAAACTCCCATCACGGCATCTTCCCTCAAAGCCGACCACATCTGCCCAATTCTAAATGGACACAGTTCCTATATTTCTCTAGGGGACAAAAGCTCTCTCCTTCTCTCCTCCTGTCAGCAAGACTTAGAGTTTAAAGAATAATTCTGTCCAGATTCCCCTCTAGATAGGCAATAATTTAAAGAATTCATGAAGTAACAGTGGCAGTGTAAATAAACAATGAAAAACTAAATAAAGACCACAGAAGACAACACACAGAAAATGTGCGCTGAGAGAAAGAACAAGATAAGTGATTCAAAACCTCTTCTGCCTTGTTACGTTCACCCATAAACAGGCCTAGCAATAATCTGAATGTGAAAGAATAGATCCTGACACAAAAATGTACCTGCTCAAAAACCTGCTTCCTCAACCTCCTCCCTAAAGGCAAACCTTCCCACACTTAATTCCAGTTTCTTGATGTTTCACACCCCTCAGTCTCATTTCTGCTTTCTGTCAGATATCAGCCTTTTTGTACTAATTGATGCAAAGCAACTTAAGACAACACCTGGAATACTCAAATTGCTGTATGTTTTAAAAAGAGGGAAAACGGTGCTACAGCCCTCACTGTGAGGAAGAAATGACCCTCAGTGAATTGCTCCTGACGTGTATATCCCGAGGCTATGCGCTAATCAATACTTACTGAGAAGCTCAGCACAGACCAGGTTGCAAAATACAACGGGAAATAAGAAATCGGATCCCCTTCCTCCCCAACCACACACTAGTTTTGTATGGCTAAGTCAAATGCATCATTTGCTTTTCTTTTTCATTATTAAATCAAAAGGATGTTTCAGACATCATTTTTCTGCCTGCCAAGAGAAACTCCCCACGTGTCAGGTAAAGTCTCCTAAGAACTGACATACTGGTTACATTTCAAGGGCTTAAAGATTTTACACTTTTATCCGATTACCGGTAGGAGAAATAATTTAAAGCAGACATACAAGATTTGGAGGAAGCATATTTTTAATCAAACAAAATCAAGAGGTGGCAAAAAAGGCTAAGTGCAAAAAAATGAAATTTTTCAGCAACATTCTCAGGGAGACAGAAATCTGTCATAAGTACCACTTAGGGATGTGGCTTTGACTCAACATCGCCTCAAAGAAGGTGAGATTGCTCTGTTCTCAAATCCTCAGGAAAGAAAAAAAACAACCAACCAAACAAACACAAAGTGAAATAATGCATTACTTGAAAGTCAAATTCTAAGTGGAGAAACCTAGCAAAATAAGTATACCAAAAGACCTGACTAAACTTCTGGCAGGATCAGAGATAATCTGGGTAACAAAAATGCCAAAATGTTTTGGGTATACAGCCACTACAGGAAGGAAACAAACAGAAAACTGGGAAACACTGTATCAAAACCCAACAAATCGTTGACATCTATGTTAGATAAATGAAGAGTCATATGTTAAGACAAACACCCTCAGATGATGTGAGTCAACTTCTGCAGTGGATTTAGCCAAGTTGCTTTCCTGAATCAACCTTAATAAATATAATGCACGATTCCACCAGCCAGAGCAGGGTTTTCATTAAATCTCACATTATGCATGCTGATCCTGGACAGTACCTGAGCTGAAGACTAAAACCTGGACCTGGGATTCTGAAATCTGATCTTAACTGAAAATAAACTTTTCATTCTGAATTATGAGTGCCAGATTTATTCTTCCTGCTGCACAGTGTTTTTTTCAGGTATTACCCAAATCTAACCCACTTCCTAGTTAAATGCAAAGATCCCACATGATATTTGTCAGGATCTAGTTCTTAATTTAACTGATCTATAGTTTTTAAGTTCAGAAAATGAAGAGAGTTTTGGGAAAATAACTCCCCTCACTTCCAGTCTGCACTGCACGATTGGCAAAGAGCTTGCTCACCTTATTCTGTTTGACTCCTACCAGAAGCCCCCATCAGTCCCATCAGCCCTTTGGGGAACTACTCTGTTAAAGGGAGCCTCCATTATACAAAATCAGCCTGGAAGATTTTCTACTTTATTGCATTTTTCTAGCTCTACAATGTTTATTACTTCCATTACACCAAAACCTACGGACAGGAATTAGATCAGAGCTCTGTTGTATGTAACAGCACACACCTCGCACCCCTAGTTCTTAACATAAGGCAAAGGCCGGGGCGGGGGGGGGAAGTACATCATCACCACCACCTCACACAATTTACAGGGGGGAAAGAAAAGTGTTCTCAGCGTTCTTCATTTTACATTTAATTAATGGCTACTTTACTTCAGGTGAATTATATACGCACTCAGTGTACACTAATACAAATAGGTCAAGTTTATATCATAATAAAAACTTATTTTCCTGCTTATTTTTCAACCTCTTGATCTAGAAGCAGTAATAACTATTCAACTAATATCTACTGAAGGAAGAATTATTCTCAATTTCTCACTGTAAAAAAACAACCAAGCAAGTTAAGAAAAAAAGATTAAAATACCTACTCTTAACCACCATGATGAAACTGGAAAAAAAACCAGACTTTTTTCCATACACACTCTTGTACAACCTGTAGTTAAAATGTTTGTTAAAACTGTATCAGCAGCACCCCTCACATACCTTAAGAAAATACATTAGCCTGAAGTCTCTCTGACACTAATGGCAGCAGCACCTTCCAGGGAATTTTGGGCACCCTCCCTTAACAGCGCAGGACTCTAAACCCCATGTTTTGAGGCCAGGAACCTCACCTCCCCCTGCAGCACGTTCCTTCTCCAATCTATTTTTTAATATCTACAGTTGGGACTGAGTCAGTATGAAATGAAACTTGCATACAACCTAGTGCTTGCCTACAGCAACATAAAGAGAACAAGCTAGAAACTATCAAATTCTCATTTAATTTAGCATGAATTAAAAGCATATGGCTATTATCCATGCATATATGTTTGAGTGCACATGTATATGTGTCTGTATACATGGAACAGGGTAAGGACTTCCATCATGAACACCTGTACTGGAGGTATTTGTGAAGAAACTTCTTCAAACATAAATATTTTCCCAGAACTGTACCTGTATAAAGACAGGAAGCTTTTCTCAAGTATATATTACAAATAGCCAAGAAAAAATTGATCAAAAGATTGTTGCAAAAGCACTAAGGATAAAAACATGGTAAGAGTGAATCAAAACAGATCTCCTAAATAAAGTTGCCTTTGATTTGACCAGGTCTTAGTGAACTCATGGGATCTACCCATCAATAGATGTCTAAATATAAGACACTATGTTTTACTTATGTGAAATACAGCTCCTAAACAAGAAGCGTAATTTTTACTAATTTGAATCAACTTTAATTCAAATGCCAAATGTATTATATTTCTATGTCTTTATTTAGAGGTGTTTACACAATTCTTTTCTGCAGCTTAAATGTTATACCTATCTGTATTTTGCCATCTGCTTGCTTTGGATCCTGAAAAAAATCTCTTCCCAAAATTACATTTGCCCATGTAAAAATCTAAGTTTACAGAAGCACTATTCATATGCATGCATTTAGATAACATGCTGATTAAAACATACCAACCTATGCATGACATTCACTTACCAGTCTAACTGAAACAACCACCAATAATGAAAAAAAGATTTCCTTTTCTCTTAACCACCAAAAAAGGTGCATAACTAGAACAAGTAAGATTTTACACTCCATATTTTATATGCAAAGCCCTGAGGACCAAATTCAGTGTACCCAAGCACAATGGAAGATGCTCATCTCTTGAAAAATTTGGTCCCTTTCCAAGAAATGGGGTGGAAAATAATTTTTGAAAACATTTATTTCTCTCTTTTAAGCTAGATCTAGAAAGAAGTAATTCCTTTTCTAAAAGCCACACTCCCCAGCCTTCCTCAAGT